TATGCAGCTGGAATTCCAATATTTTCATCCTCACGCGTCACTCACTGCAGCTGTTGGTCTTAGCCAAGCCCCTCCACTTGATTTCTCGGTGACACTTGGCACTCCCACCTTTGCTTTGGGTGCAGAAGCTGGTTACGAGACCACTTCAGGAAAGTTAACTAAATATACTGCTGGCATAACCATAACAAAACCAGATTCCTGTGCTTCAGTGCTTCTGTAAGTTTCAAGTTTTTGTTACTTAGGTTGATAAATCGAATTTTTAGAGCTGGAGGGCTTAATTCCGAATAAGTCCCTGCGATTCAGTCTAATTATACCCAAATAATAGAAAAAGGAATAAAAAATGATGAAAGAAAGAAACACCTTTAATCTGCTTCCTGAATTCGAGAATACTTGTATAGTTTGTTTATTTTTATTTATTTATTTTTCTAGGGGAGATAAGGGGGACACCATAAGGGCGTCATATATACACTACTTGGACCAGTTGAAGAAGAGTGCTGCAGTGGGAGAAATATCTCGAAAATTCTCCACGAATGAGAACACTTTCACGGTGGGTGGGTCCTACGCCATCGACAACCTGACACAAGTGAAAGTGAAGCTCAATAATCATGGCACCTTAGGCACTGTTTTGCAGCATGAGGTCATCCGAAAGTCACTCGTGACTATATCCAGCGAATTTGACACCAAGGCTCTGGACAAGACCCCGAGATTTGGAGTGTCTCTTGCTTTAAGGCCTTGAGACCACATTTGCTGAAGCATATGCGCTGTTTGGAATTTGGGAGGAATTAAATAAGTATTGACAAACTTTACTGTCTTCTCATCATTGGTTATTTTTTATGTTTTCCGTTGGTGCCTAGAGATATTCTCGGCATTTTTTATGACCGTGTGTGCTCGGTTTCTTGTTGAGGCCTTTTGACATATGATAGTAATTCTTTTGTCTGTGATGAACAGTTTATTTTTGTTTTTGCAACTCCTTCTCCAGGAAGGAAGTCAAGTCAGTAACTGTTATTGATGTTTGGCTCATGGTTGATGGCATCTGTTTCAACCCTTTCTGTGACATTCAACATTTTGTTTTCTCTTGTTTTAGTTTCATTCAAACTCTATTAATTTTGTGCAGATAGTGCTACCAAGTACCAAGACTTAGTAGGCTATGTTCTGTGTGCTAGGTTAGTTGATAATTTATAAGTGAATTTTGAGCTTGCAGTTGATAGCTTATGGTTGCAAAACTAGTTGATATGATATAAGGATTTGGTAAAATTAGTTGATAAGTTGGCTAAAATAAAAAAATTCAACAGATTTGTTTGAAAAGTTATTTAAGGAAGTTTATGAGGAAAAGTCAAACTTTTTATAAAAATTTGTCATATTAAATTAAACTTATTTAAATATATAAAAATTATAAAAAGCTCGTACAACAAAAAAAAAATTATTTGATTACAAAAAGTTTATAAACTACCTAATAGAGTAGTCTTCATGCATAATGGTGTGAACATTCCTTCAACGTTAAAATTTGTACTCGTTTTTAGAGTTGTCATCATGCATAATGGTGTGAACATTCCTTCAACGTGTAAATTTTTACTCATGGTTGATTCTTTTGAATGCCTGAAGTTGAAAGAACGTCTTTAGGGGTTGATCGTCATGCATAATGGTGTCAACATTCCTTCCATGTGTGTGTAAATTTGTACTAACTAAATTCTTTTCAATGCTTGAAGTTGAAAATGTCTGCAGGGGGCATCGGGGAGATTGGATATAAAGCATTTGTTGGTGACCCAATGCCTTGAGTCACCGATAAACATAGTTTAAGACCTCCTTTACGGTGACCCGGTTTTTGGGTCACCAANATTCTATAAAAGTGTAATTATTCTTGTTTAATTAATTTCATTCAACTTATGTAATTTCAATTTTTAATTGGGTTTGTAATTTCTTTTAGTTGTATGGTAAAATATTAAAATTTTGAAATCATTACGAATTTAATTGTAAATTTTTTAATTAATTTGTCACAACTAAGACAATAATAATAAAAAAAAAAACAATTGTAGATAATACTTAATAAATAAATAAATAAAAATAAAATAAATATTTTAGGTTGGGTTGAATTGGAGATAAAGATAAGTTGGGTGGTGGAGAAAGAGAAATAAATTTTATTTGTTAGGTTAGGTTGGGTTGGGTTGTGAGTAAAGATAGTCTAAGTGCATGCTTGGATGTAACTTTTTATCAATAAAATCCAATGACAATTCAAATCTAATTCAAATCAACATCAATATCATTATTCTCAATATTATCAATATAATTAAATAATGCCAAACAATTATTCTTACACATCATATCAATTTTAATGCAATATTCACCAATTCACATAATTTTAACTACCAATCACTTACAATCATCTCTCTCCTACTTTTATATCAAATCGACTTAATTATTTTATTTTAAATATTACTTTAGTACAAACTCAAAATCTCACTCAAACCTAACACGATCAACTTTTTAAAAATTAACTCTAGTTAACCGACAAATCCAATTAAAAAAAAATATTATATCCACTCAAGCCCTCAGGGGGCGATTGGATATGGATTAAACCAGTTATAATCCAACTTAGTGAGTCAAAGTGAGTTATTTTGAATAAAGTAAATTTAAAATTAAATAATATTTAAAATATAATGATAAAGTTGATATGATGTAAAAAAGAAAGATTATAGAAAATAATAGATAGTTAAACTTATGTGAGAATATCTTTAACAACAAAACTATTTAAACCTCATTTTTCATTTTTCAATGCGCCACATCTCCCAAAACGTTAATCTTACTCTTACATCACAAACTTCCAATAATAATAAATTTCACATATTTATTTTATATGAGTCTCACATTTTCCCACTTAGCTTTATTTTAAAATTATTGGCTTTTATTTTTCCCACTATCTTTTTCTTATTTTTATATTTATTTGATATCCACCTGGAGATTTTTGTGAAGTTTGAAATCTCAAACCGGGTTTAAAAACAGAAACCTCAATTCCAAAACCTCTTACTAAAGATGCATTGAGCTAATGAAAGGTGAAATAAAATTGATGTGATTGTGTAATAATGATTGATCGATAATTATTTAATTATAGTTATAAAAAAATATGAGAATTGTCCTGAGTTAAATTTTAAATTAAATGATTAAATACGAAATGACTCAACCAGTTATAACCAGTTGAGATGCATCATAACTCATATTCAATCACGCCCTAAGAGGGTTGGAACATTTTACCATACTGAAGATTAGTGAACCTTGATAACTAGCAAGTAGCAAATCCCAAATTCTGAGAGAGCTAGCAAGTAGCAAATTCCATGATTCAAATGCTGCAAAGATTACTACTAACCATATCATTAGTTCTATGTATCTACTAACGATTATCTTCGGTATTCATAATGTCATTTTTTTGTCCATTTCAAATAATCAAGCCCAACAAAAACGCTGATGGTTCTTAAAGAAGTTTATAATGGTGAAGGAAATTGTGCAAACAAAACTATAGAGGTAGACAAAATTGTTTTTCACATGACTCACAAACAAGAAACATCACTTTCTTCCTCTCAAATTAAAGAACATTTTTTTTTTTAACAGAAGTCCATGCACACAAACAATCCAAAATCTCCATCAAACCTGCACATACTCTTGGTCGATTTTTGCTAAGGGTGGGCAAGATACGAGCTTAAAACTCCCAAACTTTGCACGTCATACGGAGCCATAAAAATGTTATCTCCCGGCAATGAAAACACAAAATCACTTTTTGCATTGAGTGGTTAGTCGCATTTGTCTTGCAATTGAAGGAAGCCATCTTTCTCCCCTAATCCTTTTAAGCTCAGCTACACGTTGTTCCTCTCTTTCTCTTGCTGCTTTAGCAGCTGCTTCTCGAGCTTCAAGCTTAGCTAACGACTTCTCGCGTGCAGTTTTAGCTGCAGCAATTATATTGGCCCCATCAACGGCAGCAGATTTGAGTTGCTTCCTAAACTGCAAAAAAATCATGAAAACCAATTTAAATTTGTGTTAAAAGGTTAAAAAATGTGATTGGATTGTAATGAATACCAACTACACCTCTTTTGATGTTTCACCAAGCACTTCTCTAGGGATAATTCTGGGTTTCTTTTTCGGCCCTTGATGCTCATCTAATAACAGAAACATACACGCTCAAGGGGTCGTCTTGCAAATTACTAACCTTGAAGTTAGCCCAATTAAATTAAAAAGGGATAAATCATCTTGCAAAATTTATCTACTACACCCAATATAAGCCCAATTTGCATTGAGGGGAAGAGTGTGAGTGTAATGGATAAAATCCTCGAGAGGTCATCTTCAATGCAACGAAAGATATTCATAATTATAAAGAATAAATTGTATTATATTCTTTAATTAGAATACATTCAGGATATGTTTTTTCTTTTTTTGGGTAATTATTCCAGTAAAGATTTCCTGATGCTAGAAAAGCGCAACTTCTGGCAAATAGACAGAACTAAACAATTTCAGAACTAAAAAGTAGACATCATCTCACCTAAGCGATCAAATACTATCCCTGCAGGAGCACGTCTAAAAAGTCGAACTCCAACATCATTGAATGCACGATTTTCATCTACACTATGAGTTGTATAGCTAACCACTTCAATTTCCTTGTCTAACATGTCTTCCAATAGTTTCTGTGCCTGTCATAGACAAATTGTCATGAAAACCGACACCAACAGAATAATGTTTAGCTAGTCATTGATTTTTGGAAATATTCATCAGCTTACAGCGTCCAATCACCTTAAGTAAAACTCTCCATCACTATTCCTATTTATGCACACAAAAAAATTCTCAAGAAAGCCCAGTAAATCTAATCACTTGTTAACAACCGGTCATTTTCATTTACAAGTAGTCCATTAGCTAAAATCTGCACACATCATTTATTTGGGTTTGAAGTGATCTGGGAAGCAACAAAGGAACAAACAAAACCTGCAGATTTATAAATTTAATATCAAAATTATGCTTGAAACTGAAGAAAAAGGGACTCAATCATCATTTGTACTCAGCATTATGACAATCCAATAACCAAACACAAACATTCATCAGCTTAAATTTCAATTACAAAATTAAAAACAAAAAAGGCGAAATCTGGAAACTTTAGCCTAAATCATAAGTGAAAGGGGCAAAAAAAAAAAAAAAAAGTGGGCAAAAGCTGGAAACTTCAGCATATAACACGAGAACTAAAACAAAATCTTGCCACTCATTCACTTGAATAGGCATAACCTAACTAATATACAATAATTCAAAAGCAAAAGGGTTTAGAGTGTACCTTGATTTGGTAATGTTTAAGTTTTTGGGGTTTTTGTTTTCCGTCCTCGCCTTCACGGGTTCCATGGCGGACGGAAGATGCCGGAGGACCGTCGGGATCTTGCTTGGTAAAGGTGGCGGTACAGGCGGTTACAGAATCTATGGCGGCCCTCCACTCGGCATCGCCGTCTTCCTCTCCACTGCTGCTGCTGTTGTTGCTCCGAGCCCGGCCCATGATGTGGCTGAGAAGGAACCAATGGCTATTATAACGTTTCTCGGCCCAAGCCCAGAAAAGCCCATAAAACCAGCGCGAGCTTCATCTGAATTTTAGAAAATAATAGTTCTGAAAATCTTTTTAACACCATCTAATGCCAAAATTTAAATTTCGCCTTTAATTGTTGGAACTACATTTTACTCTACATAAATTATATTAGCATAAAATTAAGTTTAAATACAACTAAAAATTAAAATTAAAAATATTTAACCAACTAAATAATTTTGTTGATGTATATTTTATCAAAATAATATTTAGAAATAAAAATCAATTAAAAATTTAAGGAAAAAAATAGTAGTTATGTGAATTGTACCGTCCTACATGTAATAGTGAGAAATGTAACGGAGTATTAAAACAAGGTTTTCACAATACTTTAAAATAAAATTGCAATATATAGCAACATCGGAGTTGCTCTAATAGACCCAACGTTTATTGACACAAAAAAATAAAAACTTATAATAAATATAAGTTTATGATATAATAGAATTACAATTAAACACTAAACATTCAGTTGTAGATACGAATAAAACTATACAGTAATCGAATAATATATCTTTGAAAAAAAATATGTAAAATCAATAATTAAAAATATGGGGCATTAAGGATAATATCTAAAAATTTGATGAACCCAATTGAATCTCTTTCTGGGGCTTCGAATAGAATATACCGGCACAAACGACTAAGTTTATCTTCCTTCATGACCTTCCTTATTGGTCGACCAGATAAGACAAAAAAAAATGCTTATTTTTCTCGCAACCCAGGTCACATCGTGACCTGGGTTGCGAGAAAAATAAGTATTTTTTGATAGATAATTATTTTGAATGGCAACATTTTGAATGGCATTTCAAAGTCCAAATCCGTTCACATACAAACGACTAAGTCTCATGATTACTTGTATATTACAATTTTATTATTTTACTTCACATATAATTATGAGTTATAATGTATTATTATTATTTTGATAGATAATTATTAACAAATTTTATTCTATGTCACACAAAGTATTTAAGCCAATCAAAACGACGAATAAAAAACAAATGAGATAAAGACCTAACATATAGAATATAGTGATAGAATATATATTCAACAGTATGCTATATTGTGAAAATTCCCGAAGCATACGAAATAACTAGTCAAATAGTAGTTATAAATAATTATTAGAACATTTATTTTTTCTATTCAGAAACAATATGTTATTTAAGCGTTTGTAATGTGTGTTCATATATGAAGTGTAGTTGTATATATATAGTGGTAAATACTAAATAGCTGTTGAAAAAAACCGTTAACTATGTGTTGTAATTTATTATTATTATTATTATTATTATTATTATTATTATAGCCCATATAGCCCGTTTAACCCGAAACCTGCTAGGTTTAGGGTTAGGTCCTTTTATTGGTAGCCTATTTAAATTTGGACTTTTTAGGTCCGACCATTTAACCCGAAGCCCGCTAGGTTAACTCGAAACCACTAGGGCTAGCCCGTTTAACATCTCTTATTGCACGCGACCCTTAGTAGTAAAAACTAAAAATGATGGACAATCATTTAAATACGAAAATTGAAAAACTTCCCACATTTTGAATGGCATTTCAAAGTCCAAACCCGCTTAAGCAGAATAATGTGGCCAGCCAATGATAAAGAGCCACCAGCACACGTATTACACATGACCCTCCAGCGACGTCCCTAAACAACAAACGTTCCTAAAAGCGTAGATCTCACCGCCCATTGAGCACCATCCACGAACGACACGATTCCGCAGTAAAACCCGAGTCAAGTACACGCGCACGGTGCGCAAGTGGGACCTCTTTGCCGACACCCAACTTTGATGATTGGTCCACCCACAATGCAATCAATCAATCAATCCGCGGACCGAACCGTAATTTCCTCATATTGCAGGGGCATTTAACAGTATAATTAACATTCCTAATTTGTTGCTTACTTTTTTTCTTTTTCTTTATTTTCTGAAATTCATCAGTATTTATTCTGGTAGAAAAAAGGCTGCTTCTTAATTAAAGATCGTCCAAAACCGATCGTCTGCTTAGGAAAGGCCAATTGAGAGAAGACAGAAAGGAGATCTGTTTGGTTTTCTGGTCAACTAAAGCGATGGGTCTCTGGGAAGCTTTCCTCAATTGGCTTAGAAGGTAATATTTGGTGGATATTTGTTTTTCGTTTTGGGCTATGTTGTAGATTTGATTGATGAGTTTGTTCGGCTGTCGGTTTCTGTAAAGTTGTCTCCTTTTGATTGTTCTGGGTGTTTTTTTTTGCTGGTTTGTGTCTGTTTTGTTCTGAATTGTGGGGATTGAGGAATTTTACCTCGGCACTTCGATAAAACATTCAATTATTTATTGGATAAGTTTTGAACACTTAAAAATTTTTGTTTGAAATATAAGCTGTATTGTTTGGATTATCTGATTCTTTCCAGTATGCCATTCAATGCACTTCATCATTCGATTAATGCTATGCGTCGTAAGTGATGTGTGGAACATTTGCTTTCGTTAGCCTATTTGTGAATGTTGTTTGTTAAATTTCTTGGAAACAAATCTTGATACTTCAAGTATTCAACCATTTTTAGTTGCCTTTTCAAACCTTGCATGTAAGATACAAGATGGAGTATCTTGAAATAGGGACTGTTTTGCATGCTGTTGAGAACAAAGTCAGTCGGAGTCCATTTATTGAATAGAAATAGCCGAATATTCAAATTTATGTGAACTTTGTCGTTGGCTTCTTTCCATATATATACTACATACATATCTTTTATGCTAATAAAAGGTATTTACTGTAATTGTGAAGACAAGAGAACAAAATGTTTAGTAGCCCTTTAGAATATATATCCATGGGCCTAGCCGCTTAGGCTATATCATGAAGCACATTTCCATCTCTGTATTTTTTTTCTTTCTCATATCGCAACATGCATTAGTACTGTTAAATATCAAGTAATTGTCTCTGCTTAATTATTCACGCTCTATATTTTGTTGGTTGCAGCCTTTTCTTCAAGCAAGAAATGGAGCTTTCTCTAATAGGTCTTCAAAATGCTGGGAAAACTTCACTTGTAAACGTTGTTGCTGTAAGTAAATGCACATGCTATTCTTTCATGTAGATATATCTTTTTCATTCCGCTCGACTATTATTTCTTTGATCAAGAAGTCACTTACTCATTTCTATTTCTATTTCTATTTCCTCCCTAGACTGGTGGATATAGTGAAGATATGATACCCACGGTAACTTCTGTTTAAAAATCTACTTTCTCAGCTGTTTGGATATGGTTAGTTTCGTTCTTGATGATCATGGCATTTTTTCTATTACTAATGAGAAACTAGTTTTGATACATCAGGTTGGATTTAATATGCGAAAAGTCACAAAAGGCAATGTCACAATAAAGCTGTGGGATCTTGGAGGTCAACCCAGATTCCGGAGTATGTGGGAAAGATATTGTCGTGCAGTCTCAGCCATTGTGTATGCACATAATTCCATCCATTGACTTAAACTTTTTACTTTATTTGTTTTTCTGTTTGTAGTTCTAATTGCTTCTTGCCTTAAAAATGGTGGGGGACCATTACTATTACAATCTTTTGATTCATCATATTATCTCTCAAGACCTTGCTCTGCTACGCGCTTATTTTGATAAGAAATCAGCTCATAACTCATAATATTTTTTAATTGCGATTATGCGTTATATTTATAATTTTATTGTTGCAGCTATGTTGTAGATGCTGCCGATCATGACAACATAAGTATCTCCAAAAGCGAACTCCATGATCTGTTGAGCAAACCATCCTTAAGTGGCATTCCTTTACTGGTTTTGGGTAATAAAATCGACAAGCCTTCATCACTGTCCAAGCAAGCACTGACTGATCAAATGTATGTTTTCATCTCTATAGAAATAACATTTGCTCACAAAAAATGATGCAATATTCTTAATTTTTACTCAAAGTTAAGATTTATGTTCATGTTGTTGACTTCCAGGGGTTTAAAGTCAATCACTGATAGGGAGGTATGCTGCTTTATGATCTCTTGCAAGAACTCGACCAACATTGACCAGGTCATTGACTGGCTGGTCAAGCATTCTAAGTCAAAAAGCTAAGTACAAGACATGCTATTGTTCTCTGTAGCAATAACGAGCTTTTTCTATTTTTTCTTTTCTATTTTTTTTTTTTATGTTTTTCTGGGAGTGGATTTCATGTTTCTTGTTGTGTTTTGACCAGATTGAATATTCTTCTTTTCTGGCCAACAGGCTGGCTGCTTCTTTTGAGTTTGTCTTCTGTATTATATATTAACTCACATTTTGTTTTCTGATTTCAATCTTGGTGTTACTGGAGAGGATATTTTTTTTTTTTGTCTTTTGGGGATTTGATGGCCGTTAATTTGGTTTACTTCGTGTGATTACATACTTGCTCTGTTGATGTTCTTGTTGGTGCAAAATATGTTCTGAAAATTCATTGTCTTTGACGTTAAACAAATGGGCGACATTACTGTAACTCGAAGTTTCATGGAATAACTTTATTGTTTTTAAGTTCTTAAGAGGATTTAAGGCTTTGCCAGACTTATATTATGAAAAGATCTTACAGAAGTTCATAGGAGATGTTCTTATATTATGAAAAAGATCTTACAGAAGTTCATAGGAGATGTTTGTTGAAAGAGTGAAGGATCCCAAATTCCTATGTTTGTTAATTTTGTATATCTTGTAACACACTTGAAAAGATAATACATTTTCGCATTATAGATACATGTCTTTGATCATTTTTGTCAATCACAAAATATTAAGAATAAAAACATGTAGACTACATCTTAAAAGATCTATTCATAGTTGTCAAAAACTGAAATTTTTGTCAACTATAGAAAAAAAATGGAAATAAAAATAACAGACCACAACCACAACATTTAAATAAATTTAAATTATATAAATTAAGGAAACATCTCAAGGGCAGAAGGTTAGAGAGAAGAAAAAAACTCTCTCCCGTGGAATCCTTCGGCGCCTTCTTTTTTGAGCAACAATCCATTGTTTTCAATTGATTTCTTCACTTGTATTCTTGAACTAATACTTCTACTATGAGTTGAGCTTAGCTTCAAGAGGCAGCCCGTCACTACAGTAAACTCATACTTAATTTCATGGGCAAATCAAAGAAGAAGCTCCAATACCGGAAATTGACGGAGGAAGAGTGCTCCGGTCACTCCTATGAACATGATGACTTCTCCCAAGAGGACTCGGAAGAAGAGCAAGAAGCCATGATTGAAAGAAAAGCTTCATCTCCAATAACCAAGGGTGCCATACATGATGGGAAAGAGGTAAGACCGGCAAGCTCTAGCACTTCCTTACCTATCAATGATATTGGGTTAGCTGAGGATGACAATGGAGGGGAACAACAAGTACAAGAGAAGCCTACTACACAAACCAAAAAAGGCGAACACAAGGTGCTCGACAAAATGACACAAAAGAATCCCGACACACTAAAGAGGCCATACTCGGCCCTCTTTGCCGACAGCCGTAAGGCCTCTCTTGGCCTTAAATTGGACTACATACCGCCGGACAACGGGGTGGACCTAGACGAAGAAGACCTATTGGACTTAACGAGTGCATGTACTTTACTCATAGGCACCCGGGCAAAGAGGCTTTGTTGAAGCTATGTAACTCATGGAAAGTTCGATACAAATACATTCCCAACGTCAATGGGTGGATTGTTTTCAAGTTCAAAAACGAAGAAGATAGAGAGAAGGTACTTCATGGAGGGCCCTACACTATTTATGGTCGAGGGCTCATCCTTAAAGTACTCCCTAATTGGTTCCAATTCGGGGAAGACGACATCAAAACCGTTCCCGTTTGGATCAATATCCCCTTCCTACCTGGGGAATGTTGGAGCACTAAATCACTTAGCAAGATTGCCTCCTACGTCGGCAAACCTAACCAAAAGAAACCGAACAACCCAACATAGGAGGTGACAAGGCTAAACCCAAGGAGAGAGTTGATATGGAGGAAAAACAAAAGAAAGGGGATGAACCAAACGAAGAGCATGAGGAGTATGTAAAAAGGAAAGAGGCGGTGACCATTACTTCGGAAAACTCTTCCTCCTCCTCCCGAACCATTACCGCTCCTATGGATAATGAGGACGAAGACACCTTCCAAGTAGTAGGTAGGCGCAACAAGATACTCACTCGAAGTAGAGCCGCGAGCCAATCCACCGCAACTTCAGGTCAACAATCCAAATTGAGAGGCAAACCGGGTGGGAAAAATAAAGGGGGCAAGGGAACTATTGTGAAGAAAGGGGGTCACCATTCCTCTTCTCAATGATTATCGCCTCATATAACATTAGGGGCTTTAATGGGCCCCTAAAGCAAGATGAGGTGACCAACCTCATCCGTAGAAATAATTTGGGTCTTTTGGAAACAAAAACCGATGCTAGGCGGCTAGCTCTCTTTGTGGATAGAAGATTGCCGGGTTGGGAATTTTGTGAGAATTTTGATGTTGTTGACCTTGGGCGTATAGCACTACTATGGAACCCCGCGAAAGTCGACATCACGGTGGAGGCCACCTTGCCTCAAGTCATATTTGTGGAAGTCCATTGTAAGGTTAGCAACCACTCGTTTATTGCTAGCCTCATATACGGACTCTACACGAGAGGAGATCGAAAATTGTTATGGAATGACCTTAGGGCTGCTCGGGGAAAGATCTCCTTGCCTTGGATGCTCCTTGGGGATTTCAATGCCATTCTAAAACCGGAAGAAGAGAGAATTAGGGGCGAGAGGGTCACCAACTGGGACACCAGCGATCTCATAGAAGTTTGTGATGATTTAGGGTTGTCGGATGTACCCTCAAGCGGTTTTTACCACACTTGGAACAATAACCATGTTTGGTCGAAACTTGATAGAGCTATGGTGGATACTCAATGTGAGAATGTCGATCTATTTGCGCATGCGACTTTCCTTGCACTGGGTATTTCTGATCACTCTCCGTGTTTAGTAACTACCTTTGAGGTGCGAAGCACTAGTGGAACACCGTGGAGATTCTTTAATATGTCGACGTCCCATGAGAAGTTTTTGTCAAGTGTTCAAGAGACTTGGAATGAAGGTGGAGGGGGCTCGAGGCAATTCCGCCTTGCGTCAAAATTAAAGAACCTTAAGAGCTCCCTTAAGGTTCTTAATGAGGAGGCCTTCTCGCACATCTCCTTTCGGGCCAAAGAAGCGAAGGACGCCCTCAAGAGTGCTCAACAAGTGCTTCACGATCAACCTGATGACCCCGAAACCAAGGCCAGGATGGCCTCGCTTAGACTCGAAGCTCTTAAGTTGGCCAAAGCGGAGAAGCACTTCTACCAACAAAAGGCCAAATGCAACTTTCAAATAAAAGGAGATAAGTGCACCAAGTTCTATCATGGCTTGGTCAAAAAACGATCAAAACGAAATTTCATTGCCTCGATTAACCGGGAAGATGGCACCGTCACCAAATCCACGGAAGAAGTCGCAAAAGAGTTTATCCATTACTATGAGTCTCTCTTGGGAACTGAAGTTGAAATGGAGGATGTTGACCCACTCATTCTTCGGTGGGGACCGTGTGTTAGGGATGAAGACTGTAGGGCTCTTATTGCCCCAATCACCGAGGAAGAGATCAAGGACACACTTAGAGACATTGATGGTGGTAAGTCCCCGGGACCTGATGGCTATACCTCAACTTTCTTTTTGAAGAGTTGGTCCATCGTTGGGGCCGATGTAGTGGCGGCTATCCAAGAGTTCTTTCGATCCGGACTACTTCTCAAGCAATGGAACCATACGGCCCTCATGCTTGTCCCCAAATCCTCCCACTCTTTGCAAGTCACTGACTTTAGGCCTATTGCGTGTTGCAACACGATTTATAAGATAAGCTCTAAAATCCTAGCTAATCGTGTTAGAGGTGTCCTTGACTCTATCATTGATGAGGCTCAAGCTGCCTTTGTGAAAGGGAGGAGCATCACGGACAACATTCACCTCATGCAACAATTGTTGCGTTTCTACTCGAGGAAACGGGTATCCCCGAGGTGTATTATAAAAATCGATCTCCGCAAAGCGTTTGACTCAATTTCTTGGTCGTTTTGGAAGCAAGTGCTCGACGGTCTTGGCTTCCCTCCAGACTTTACGAGATGGGTCTTGGAGTGCGTCACAACTCCTTCCTACTCTCTCTCTATTAATGGGAGCCTCAAAGGACACTTCAAAGGAGCACATGGGTTAAGGCAAGGTGACCCCCTATCACCTTTCATTTTTGTGATTTGTATGGAGTACCTCTCTCGACTGATCAAGAGCAATACGGCGGTCGGCACGAACTTCAAATACCATCAGATGTGCGAGAATTTAAAAATCTCGCACCTTGTCTTCGCTGACGACCTTATACTTCTTTCTCGTGGTGACCCTCATTCAATCCAAATTCTCATGGATTGTCTTAAGGACTTCGGAGCTAAGTCGGGGCTTGAAATGAATGTGCTAAAATCCAATATTTATCTGGCTGGGGTCAGGGATGATATTCGGGAGACAATCCTTCACAACACCAACTTGCGACACGACCCAATGCCCTTTCGGTACCTCGGCGTCCCTCTCTCTGCGGACCGAATTACCGGAAGGCTCTTTGATGATATGATTGTGCAAATCGAAGGACAACTTAGAAGGTGGAATGGGCATACTCTTTCCTACGCTGGGAGATTGGAACTCTTACGCTCGGTAATACAAGGCATACTGTGCTTCTGGATGGGGATTTTCTTCTTGCCCAGCATAGTTCGTACAAAAATCACCCAACTATGTCGAAGGTTCCTTTGGGGATCGAAGAGTGCTCCCGTGGCTTGGGATAGTTTATGCTTGCCGCGGTTGGAAGGTGGCTTGGGGCTTAGAGAATTGAATGCGTGGAACCAATCACTACTCACCCGGACACTTTGGAATATGCAAGCAAAGAAGGACACCCTGTGGCACAAATGGATTCACAATATCTATTTGGAGGGGAAATCCATTTGGGATTGGGAAATAAGACCGACAGATTCACCTCTCTTCAAAACCCTCTTTGACATCCGGCAAGCCTTGGTGGAAAAGGTGGGGAGTGCCCGAGAAGCAGAAGCCCTTCTTCAAAGATGGAAAGCTCATGAAGGCCAAGAAGGGACTGGCAAGTGCTACGACCTCCTTAGACCTAAACGACCTATGGTACCGTGGCATGAGGTAGTTTGGGGCCCGTGCAACACCCCTAAGCATTCTTTCATCCTTTGGTTGGGTGTGCTTAACCGACTCCGGACAAGAGATCGACTCGAATTCCTTGAAGAAGATCCAATATGCCCTCTTTGTGGAGTTGCGAATGAATCTTCGAGCCACCTTTTCTTTGAGTGTTCATTTGGCTCGGAGATTTGAAATGAGATTTGTACTTGGATTAGACTCCGACATAGGCCGACTACACTAAAAGCCTCCCTCAAATGGATCAAGAAGGAGGCGAGAGGGAGTGGTTGGCAAACAAGGTTGAAGAAAGCGGCGCTTGCGGCTGGCGTGTACTTTATTTGGAATGCTAGTAATAGGTTGGTGTTTGAAAATGAATACCAAGGCACGAATATGGTAATTCGCAAGGTAAAAACACATGTTTATAGAACAATATTTGCCACCTATCCAAATGTACTTGTTGAATTTGAGAGAAGAAGTCTTGGGCTTTAAGAGCAAAGAAGTCGAAAATCGGCCGAAAACGCTCAAAATAAGCCTAAGTTGGGAAAATGGCCCCAGGACAGCGTGATTTCGCAGCTGCGAACACACATTCCGCGAGCTGAGCAATTTCGCAAGCAATCCTCCCGCACCTGCGAACTCCTACCAGATTGCGAATCTGGATTTCGCACCGCGAGTTCCAACAGAGCCTACAACCCAAAAATTTCGAGCTTGCGAAATTCCTGCCAGCTTGCGAATCTGGATTTCGCACCTGCGAGTTTCAACAGAGCCTACAGCCCAAAAATTTCGAGCCTGCGAAATTCCTCCCGGTGCCTGCGAGTTCCCCTTATGCTGAGAAATGGCCACCAGCGAATTCACAAAGCTCACGCCCGCGAGTTGAGACCGTTCGGGCCCGTTAGTAGTCGGTTTCCAGTGCCGTTTTACTTATGTGTACTCATCGTGCGGTTATATGAGATTACAAAGGATTTCTATCATTTTGTTTTCCATTAGTAATAAGTAACCAACCGACTTGTGGTTGGCCTCTTATTCTTTGCTTGGCGAATGCGAAATCGACTTAGTGGTTGCCCATTACGCTTTTGTACACCGTTGAACGGTTGTCCGAAATATTTTTGATATATATAAATTTACATTTAACGATTAAAAAAAATTAAATTATAGAATTTTATAAATAAAATTGAAATAGTCAATAACACGCGCGAGTGACATTATCCCCGCGGTCTAGCCGCTTTTCCCGGCAACCAACTACCATGATTGGTCCCACCCGCAGCCAATAAATCCGCCCGAACAGTAATTTCCTCGTATTAGAATGGCATTAAGAATTAAATTCCATTATAACTAATTTTGAATTAATGTGAATTATTTTGAAGATTGATAAGTAGTTAAAATTAGTTAAAATCCATATTGATCATGAGTTTAAGGGAGTCATTGTAAATAAAGTTGATTGAATTGACTAGATATATTATAATTAAATAATATTTTATAGTTGATGTGAAATAAAAATATAATAGAAATAATGTGAGAGATAGATAGTTAAAAATTGAATTGATGAGATAGATTATAATTAAATAATATTTAAAATATAATGATTAACGTTGATATGAAATAAAAATATGACAGAAATAATGTGAGAGATTGGTAATTAAAAATATATGAGATGATGAATAGTAAAAAAAATTGAGGTAAGAGAGAAATGATTAATATTATCAAATTATACTGATAATATTTAAAATAGTAACTTTAGATTTTGAGTTAAAAGTGAGTAAAAAAACGGATCAAATTTCCTTAACAATCACCGTTGCTTACATTGTTACTAGTACGTAACCCGTGCGATGCACGGGATGTAAAATTTGGAAGAATAATATAACCTCACGTGCATTAGGATCGAAATTGAAATCATTAAAATACATAGGAACATTGTTGAATCATAAAAAGTTCGGTAACAATCATATATTATGAAAAACCTCCTTGTACACAACATTATGAGTTTGATTATTTGGTAACTCCTCATTATCACAAACTAATATTTTCAAAAGAGACAAATCCTAAAAATCAAACTAATATTTTTTGTGAACAAACTAATATTTTAGGATTGGTGAACAAACTAATATTTTAGAATTTCTAGGATTTGTCTCTTTTTTGTGAACAAACTAATATTTTAGGATTTGTTATATGAATAAGGGTACTTGTTTTTCGTGTTCTTTTCATTCCTTTTCATTCAAACAATCCGATGACTTGTATAATGAAATCCGAATCTTAAGTCGAAATATTTGAAAAAAGAGTTTTTAAAAATTGAAAAGTCAAGACAATCAGTTCAGATTAATTAAAGGTCAAAGAATATCCGCTCCTTGAAATAAAGACGTGTGCTATCATTAACCAAATATCCAGTTATTGATATAGAGTGGTTACCAAAAAATAGAACGTCATAAGGACGCTTCATGGAAATATCAATGGAATAAGGTCATAACAGATCGCTATATATTTTAACGATAAAAGCTCAGATTGAATGATTTATGATAATTATGTCGTAATTAATGAATTAATTAGATGTGTGAAAATGACATAATTTATGAGAAGTGTGAAAAGGACATAATTAATGAGAAGTGTGAAAAAGACAAAAACTTACCAGTTTTGGAAAATATTTAATACAAATCCGACATTGACCATAATTTGACCTACTATTTTGGATAAATGTTAATTCTTATTATATAAGTATAGATTTTGTTTTTCCATTTTTTTTCTAAAATTCATTCTTATATATTATGGCTAGGAAAAAGGATGTTTCCTAATTAGAGATCGTCCAAAACCAATTGACTCCTTTGGGAAGGCCAACTGAGAGAAGACAGAAAGGAGATCTGTTTTGTTTTCGAGTCAATTGAAGCAATGGGTCTCTGGGAAGCTTTCCTCAATTGGCTTAGAAGGTAATATTTGGTGGATATTTGTTTTTCGTTTTGGGCTATGTTGTAGATTTGATTGATGAGTTTGTTCGGCTGTGAATCTGAACCTGTGTAAGATGTCTATTTCTCTGGGGAGCTATAATATTGTTGGTGCTTAATGTGGAGTTTAATCCTAAACCTGTATTCTGTAGATGGTTTTAATTACCTATAATAGGCTGCACATAATATGGGGGAAAAACATTCAATTATTTATTGGATAAGTTTTGAACACTTAAAAATTTTTGTTTGAAATATAAGCTGTATTGTTTGGATTATCTGATTCTTTCCAGTATGCCATTCAATGCACTTCATCATTCGATTAATGCTATGCGTCGTAAGTGATGTGTGGAACATTTGCTTTCGTTAGCCTATTTGTGAATGTTGTTTGTTAAATTTCTTGGAAACAAATCTTGATACTTCAAGTATTCAACCATTTTTAGTTGCCTTTTCAAACCTTGCATGTAAGATACAAGATGGAGTATCTTGAAATAGGGACTGTTTTGCATGCTGTTGAGAACAAAGTCAGTCGGAGTCCATTTATTGAATAGAAATAGCCGAATATTCAAATTTATGTGAACTTTGTCGTTGGCTTCTTTCCATATATATACTACATACATATCTTTTATGCTAATAAAAGGTATTTACTGTAATTGTGAAGACAAGAGAACAAAATGTTTAGTAGCCCTTTAGAATATATATCCATGGGCCTAGCCGCTTAGGCTATATCATGAAGCACATTTCCATCTCTGTATTTTTTTTCTTTCTCATATCGCAACATGCATTAGTACTGTTAAATATCAAGTAATTGTCTCTGCTTAATTATTCACGCTCTATATTTTGTTGGTTGCAGCCTTTTCTTCAAGCAAGAAATGGAGCTTTCTCTAATAGGTCTTCAAAATGCTGGGAAAACATCACTTGTAAATGTTGTAGCTGTAAGTAAATGCATATATTTTATTCTTTCATGCAGATATATCTTTTTTCCTTCTGCTCGGTTATTCTTTCTTCAATCAAAAAGGCATTTACTCAATATATATTTCTTTTTCCTCCCACAGACTGGTGGATATAGTGAAGATATGATACCTACGGTAAATTCTGTTTAAACACTCTACTTTCTCAGCTGTTTGGCTAAGGTTGGTTTCATTCTAGACGATCAAGGCATTTTTCGGTTACTAATGAAAAAACTGTTTTTAATATTCCAGGTTGGATTTAATATGCGGAAAGTCACAAAAGGAAATGTAACAATAAAGTTGTGGGATCTTGGAGGTCAACCCAGATTCCGGAGTATATGGGAAAGATATTGTCGTGCAGTATCGGCCATTGTGTATGTCCTTAATTCCATCCATTCACTTGGCTTTTTTTTTTTTTGTTTTATGTTGCCCCAAACTACTATTTGACATAGAAAATGGGATCCAAGTATGCATTGCTAATAACTTGAATCTAGTGGATACATGTTTTTTGACAAGATTTTCATACATCCGATGCAATTGCGATTATGCATTATATATTATTTTTGGTGCCAGCTATGTTGTTGATGCTGCCGATCAAGATAACATTAGTATCTCCAAAAGCGAACTCCATGATCTATTGAGCAAGCCATCACTAAGTGGCATTCCTTTGCTGGTTTTGGGTAATAAAATCGACAAGCCTTCAGCAGTGTCCAAGCAAGCATTGACTGATCAAATGTAACTTTCTTCTCATTAGAAATAAATTTGTTTACCAAAAAATTGATGCAATTTTCTTGATTTTTACTCTGAGTTAAGATTAACTTCATATTGTTGACTTTCAGGGGTTTGAAGTCAATCACTGATAGGGAGGTATGCTGCTTTATGGTCTCTTGCAAGAACTCGACCAACATTGACCAGGTCATTGACTGACTGGTCAAACATTCTAAGTCGAAAAGCTAAGTACAATAACGAGCTTTTTTATTTTATTTTTTATTATTTTTTTGGAGGGAGAAGTGAATTTCAAGTTTCTTGTTGTAAGTGACCAATTTGAAAAATTCTTCTTTTCTGGCCAATTGGCTGGTTGCTTCTTTTGTGGTTGTCTTCTGTATTATATAGCAATTCATATTTTTGTTTTCTGATTTCAACCTTGGTGTTGTTGAAGAGGGTTTTCCTTTGTATTGGATGGCTGTTAATTTAGTTTTCTTCGAATGATTACATCCTTGTCCTGTTCGTTTTCTTGTTGGTGCAAATTATGTTACGATCCGAAATTTTTCGAAGTTTTCAAGAGGATTCAGCACTTTGCTGACTTATATTATGAAAAAAAATCTTAAAGAAATTCATAGGAGATGTTTGCAGAAAGAGTGAACAGAGTGAACGATCCCAAATTCCTCTCGTTTGATATAAGATTTTAATTTTATGTTGTTCTGACTTTAATGTTAAATATGAAAAAGATTTAGTGATTATAAATAATTTTTCCATCTTCTCAAATTAAAGTAAAATTAGTATCTTCGGAGCTTTATATATATTATACCCAATGGCTATAATTTTTGGTTAGTAGTCAATAAAATTATTGTGTGAGATGTCTTTTAATGATGCATCATACTCAATGAACAAATAAGAATAGTTATACTATTAAATATCATATTTTTTATACTTCAGTTTATAATGTTTTTTAATGTATATTATTTTCTAGTGAATATATGCATTTTTATTCAAATAGTATCTATCTAATGGTTAGGCCAACCTAACACAAGACCTATTTTCACTATATTGTTTTTTTCTTATAATGACTCAAATATGATTGTTAGTATTATTTTTTATTAAAAGTAGTTTCAGAAAGCAAATTGTAAATTTTGTATATCTTGCTACTTTTATCTTTTTATTATAAGACAAATCGACAAAACGCATATTTTGAAATATATTTTTTTATTTGTTTTTCACTCAATCACCCCTCACCCTCCGAAGCCGAAGGCAATTGGCTTGAAAAACCATAAATTTTGCCCTTTGTTGTAAATAATGGACTAACAAATAGTCATTTGTACAAACTAGATTATGTTGTAAATAATAGACTATTGTACAAATTAGACTATGAATAGTACATTGTGTAAAAAAATGTCAAAGAAATGTGGCAAAATTTTGCCTATAAATATGGCTCAATTCATTGAGCATGTACACATAAAAATACAAAAAAGAAAGAAAGAAGAGAAAGAAATAAAGGAGAGAAAATTTAGTAAAATTTGTCTCCGGTTTATATAATTGTGTTCTTTATTTTCTTAGTATTCATAACACGTTATTAGCACGAGTGCTCTACCCGGTCAGAAAAGTAGTAATATATATATGTATATATAAAATTAGTATATTTTACTAATATACATATTATTATTATTATTGGCAAGTAAGGCTATGCCATAGTCAATAATATGTGGTAAGATGATATTATTAAATTATTTATGAATTACTACTGATCATGAACATAATATTATTAATTGTACTTCACACCCACAAAATGGTTTACCCAGTAATGTGGCATGGAATTTATAACTGCTTATTCTTGTACCCAACGAAAGATTTATCGAGTAGTAGTGTGGGGTGACATTTTTATTTGTTGTATTAGCTAAAATGTTTACTAAGTGACCCGAAAAAAAATTATATGTTGATATGCATGAATAATTAAATTTTTCATGAATGATATAATTAACAAATACTATATCAATAATGTGTTTTTAAATATAAAAAAAAAATCTAACGGCTATTTTTGCAACGGCTATTTATCAATCTATATATATCACACTTCACTTCATATATTAACACTCATTCTAAAATACTACAATATATTCTCCTCATGAAAAAAAATGTTTAATCTATTATTTGTAATTACCATTATATTGTTTATTATATACGCTTTGGGAATTTTCAGAATGATGTATCATACTTCTGAATTTATATTTTATGTATTAGGTTTTTGTGTAATGTGTTTGTTATTTGCTCTTATGTACGTTTTGGATAATTAATGATTGTATATGTAATTTTTTCGAATCTAAGCATTGATGTTTTATTTTATAGTTATCATGACAAATCTGGTCAAATTCGAATTTGAAGCTCTTGATATATCTGGAAAAAATTATATTTCGTGGACATTGGATGCCGAAATTCATTTGGCTGCAAGGGGGTGGGGAGAAACGATAATCTCCCCAAATAATTCATCAATACAAGATAAAGCTAAAACAATGATATTTCTGAGACATCATTTGAATGAGGCATTGAAAAATGAATATTTAACTGTGAAAAATCCTGCAGATCTCTGGAAAGCCTTAAAAGAAAGGTATGATCACTAAAAACGGTGATTCTCCCCCGGGCTCGTTATGATTGGATGCACTTACGCTTCCAAGATTTCAAAACTTTAAACGAGTACAATTCAACAATGTTCCGCATTTGCTCGGTATTGAAATTATGCGGGGAAAACATAACTGATTACGATATGCTGCAAAAAAAGTTGTCCACATTCCACGCTTCAAATGTACTTTTGCAGCAACAATACAGAGCAAAAAGCTTTGTGAAATATTCTGAGTTGATTTTTTGCTTGTTGCTAGCTGAACAAAATAATGAACTGTTGATGAAAAACCATGAATCTAGACCTACGGGGTCTACTGCGGTCCCTGAAATAAATACTGTAATATCTAGACAGGGAACTGGAAATAAAAACAGCCAAACACATGTGTGTGGATATACCTCAGGACGTGGTCGTGGTCGTGGTCGTGGACGTGGCTGTGGATATGGTCTGGATCGTCAATCCGGCCGAGGCCACAGATTTCACTGAGAGTATAACTCGGGCCGATAATACAATCGTGGACGAGGCTTTAACTATGTCCAAAATTATGAAAAGGGGAGACATTTCCAGCCAAAATTTGAACAGAACAATGTGACGGAAAATAATGATGAAAAGGCATGTTATCGATGTGGAAGGAAGGGACATTGGGCACGAAATTGTCGTGCTCCGAGACACGTTGTTGATAATTATAACGATTCCCAGAAATCAAAAGATAAGAATATAGAAACCAAATTTATGGTTGGGGAATCCTCTGAAAATGATGCAACACGAGTGGATGATGATTATGGCATCGATGACATATTGAAACTGGATTTTGCCGATGCAGTATTTGAAGACAGAGATGGAAATGACCAAGAGAATAATTGATGATCTATTTTCTGTATGATTGATAAAAAAATTCTAAGTATGATTGTAATAATGTGTGAAACATCTCTATATGTATTTCAAAATTAATCAATAATATTTTTTTTTTTTGTTTTAGATCATGGAACAATCCTGAATGCAAAATGGAGATTTATGTCTTGCAGATTGTGCCACTACCCACACTATACTTAAAGACAGAAAATATTTTGTTCACTTAGAAACAAATAAAGCGAAAGTGAACACAATATCAGGATGTGCAAAGATAATTGAGGGGTCCGGAAAGGCCATATTTTTTATGATGGGAGGTACAAAATTTACAGTGAATGATGCGTTATTCTCCCCAAAATCAACAAGAAACTTGTTGAGTTTTAAAGATATCCGAATGAACGGATATCATGTTGAAACAATGAATAAAGGGGGAGATGAATATCTTTGCATTACCTCAAATATTGCGGGAAATAAATGTGTTTTGGAGAGGTTACCCGCTTTATCCTCGGGTTTATATTACACCTGCATCAATATAATCGAGGCTTATGCTGCAACCAATTCAAAGTCGAATGAGATGGTTAAACTTTGGCATGATCGACTTGGTCACCCTGGCTCGATAATGATGAGAAGAATTATTGAAAATTCTAATGGCCATCCATTAAAAAATCAGAGGATATTACAAACAAATGAATTGACATGTGCCTCATGTTCTCAAGGAAAATTGATAGTGAGACCATCACATACTAAAGTCGGACATGAATCACCATTATTTTTAGAAAGGAATCATGGTGATATATGTGGACCTATTCATCCACCTTGTGGTCCATTCAGATATTTTATGGTGTTGATTGATGCCTCTAGTAGATGGTCTCACGTGAGCTTGTTATCCACTCGAAATGTGGCATTTGCTAAATTACTCGCCCAACTTATTAAATTAAGGGCTCAATTTTCAGATTATGTTATCAAAAGGGTCAGACTTGACAATGCTGGTAAGTTTACATCTCAAGCATTTAATGATTATTGTATGGCAGTGGGAATTGATGTTGAACATCCTCTGGCACATGTTCACACTCAAAATGGTCTAGTAGAATCATTAATTAAATGATTGCAACTTATAGCCAGACCATTAATAATAAGGACAAAACTCCCCACTTCAGTATGGGGACATGCTATTCTGCATGCAGATGATCTAATTCGAATAAGACCAAGTACATACCATAATTACTCGTCATTACAGTTGGCATATGGCCGAGAACCAAACATTGCACATATAAGAGTTTTTGGTTGTGCAGTGTATGTACCAATTGCTCCACCCCAACGAACAAAAATGGGGCCTCAAAGAAGGTTGAGAATATATGTTGGATATGAATCTCCATCAATAATCAAATACCTTGAGCCAAAAACAGGTGATGTTTTTACAGCTCGGTTTGATGATTGTCATTTTAATGAAGAATTATTTCCCCAATTAGGTGAGAATGAAAAATCAATTGAGAGAAATATTGAATGGAGAACATCATCACTATCATATCTTGATCCTCCCACTAAACAAAGAGAGCAAGAAGTTCAAATGATTATACATCTGCAGAATATTGCAAATCAATTGCCAGATGAATTTACTGATTTAAAAAGGGTGACCAAATCACATGTGGCAGCTGTAAATGCCCCTGCTCGAATTGAGATTCCAAAAGAAATGCCAAATGATAATATGAAAAATGAGTCAAAGACACGTTTGAAACAAGGAAAACCAATTGGGTCTAAAGATAAATCCTCGAAAAAAAAGAGAAATTCAAGACTCGAATTTGAAAAAGAATCAAGATGATGAAAAAATTTCGGAAAGAAATGAAAATATTGAAATTTCCATTAATTACGTGAATAATGGAAATATTTGGAAGCGTGATGAGTTCATAAATATTGATGATGCATTTGCATATATGGTATTGAAAGATATTAATAATGAAGTTGAGGATCCTGAACCAAAATCTGTAATTGAATGTCGGAAAAGACATGATTGGGATAAGTGGAAAGACGCCATCCAAGCTGAGTTAGATTCGCTCAAAGTTTTTGGGCCTATTTCCATTACACCAAAAGGCATAAAACCTATTGGATACAGATGGGTTTCATCAGAAAAAGAAATGAGAAAAATGAGATCACGAGATATAAAGCTCGCCTTGTAGCACAGGGATTCTCCCAAAGGCCTGAGATTGATTATAATGAAACATATTCCCCTGTCATGGATGCAATTACTTTCAGATTAATCAGTTTAGCTATCCATGAAAATCTTGAGATGCGTCTCATGGATGTTGTGACTGCTTACTTGTATGGATCATTAGACACAAACATTTACATGAAAGTTCCTGAAGGAATCATAATGCACGAAGCACTAAACTCCAAACCTAAAGAGTTATGTGCGATAAAACTACAAAGGTCATTATATGGCTTGAAACAATCCGGGCATATGCGGTATAATTGTTTGAATGAACAATTACTTAAAAGGGGATACTTAAATGATCAAATATGTCCGTGTGTATTTATAAAGAAATCACATGATGGAGTTGTGATAATTGCTGTCTATGTTGATGATCTTAATATTATTGGAACAACATGAAATTCGAGAAGCAGTCATTTTTCTAAAAGGCGAATTTGAAATGAAAGATCTCGGAAAAACCAAATATTGTCTCGGCTTACAGATAGAGAGGGTACAGAATGGAATATTTGTCCATCAATCTAACTATACTAAAAGAGTACTGAAACGATTCAATGGACAAAGCGAATCCCCTTAGTACTCCGATGGTTAATCGAACATTAGATGTTGAAAAGGATCCATTTCGACCTTGTGAAGAAAATGAAGAAATACTTGGTCCTGAGGTACCATATATGAGTGCAATAGGAGCTTTTATGTATCTTGCTAATTGCAGTAGACCAGATATATCTTTTGCTACCAACTTGTAAGCAAGATATAACTCGTCACCTACGAGGAGACACTGGAATGGAATCAAGCATATATTCCGTTATCTCCAAGGAACAACCGATCTGGGATTATTATACTCAAATGATAAAAAACATGAAATGATTGGTTTTGTAGATGCAGGATATTTATCAGACCCACATAAAGCGAGATCTTAAACTGGCTGCGTATTCACGATTGGTGGAACTGTATTTTCTTGGCGTTCTCAGAAACAAACACTGGTTGCTACATCTTCAAATCATGCTGAAATCATTGCACTTAATGAAGCAACTAGGGAAAGTATCTGACTCAGAAACATGACTCAACACATTCAACAAGCCAGCGGATTATCGAATAATAAAGATCTGACGGTGATATTTGAAGACAATGCAACATGTGTCGCTCAAACCAAAAAAGGATACAGTAACTAAACATATCCCACCAAAGTTCTTCTCGTACACTCAAGAGCTTGAAAGGAACAAACAGATCAAGATTCAATACATCCGATCAAGTGATAATGCAGCTGATTTATTTACTAAGGCGCTCCCAACTACAACATTCCGAAAACACGTCCATAACATCGGAATGAGACATCTTAGAGATTTGCACAGATGATTACTCGAGGGGGAGCATGCGCGGCTGTACTCTTTTTTCCTTATCTCGGTTTTTTTTCCATAGGATTTTTCCAGATAAGGTTTTTAACGAGGCAGCATAAACGCACATTTAATAGTGATAATTCTAAGGGGTGGAATGTACCTGATGGCAACAAGATATAATTACTCATGATGACTAGAAGACACTGGAGTAGCTGTACTCTTTTTCCTTCGATCAAGTTTTTTCCCACTACGTTTTCTTGACAAGGTTTTAACGAGGCAGCATGTGGATACTCCACTAAAGATGATCTATTTGAGGGGGAGAAATATTGTGCTTCAACAATGCTCAGGTTTTTGTCCCACCGGATTTTCCTGACATGATGAATGACTAATGTACATTTTATAATTGTCAGTCCAAGGGGGAGTGTTGTAAATAATGGACTAACAAATAGTCATTTGTACAAATTAGACTATGTTGTAAATAATAGATTATTGTACAAATTAGACTATGAATAGTACATTGTGTAAAAATGTCAAGGAAATGTGGCAAAATTTTGCCTATAAATGTGGCTCAATTCATTGAGCATGTACATATAGAAATACAAAAAAGAAAGAAAGAAGAGAAAGAAATAAAGGAGAGAAAATTTAGTAAAATTTGTCTCCGGTTTATATAATTGTGTTCTTTATTTTCTTAGTATTCATAACACCATTATATATTTGATTGTTTTTATTACTTTTGTTATTCATAAAAAGTTGAATAAAAGGAAGTATAATTTTTTATTTATTTCTTTAAATATCAAAATATTATTAAAACTCCAAAACGAGTACAATGTTAAAACTCCGTTATATTTTTAATTATGTTGATAAAATTGATGNATTTATTTGAAATAAAATGAATGATTTAAATTTTTGTGAATAAAATAAATACTAGAAAACTTCTCATTTTTTTAAAATTTTAGACAACAAATTAAAAAATACATATTTTGATAGGTGACATGATTTTTGCAAAATAAAATTTGAAGAAATATGCTCTCTATTCACCTCACCTTCTTTCTTTCCCTTCTCGCATCGACCTTCCCAACTTCCTACCACAAACCCTAAACCTACTCTGAAGAAACTCTACGATTTTGCCCCTTTCCCACTATGTCCTCTTTAATTTTCAAAATGCCCTCCAACTCCCTCGTCCGGACGCTCCTCCGCCGGACCCTCTGCACTGCGACGGAGACACGGACCCAGAAGCTCGAGCGCATCGCCGACGTACTCCTGGACTTGAACAAGTTCGAGCGCCACGATTACGTCGTCCTGCTCAGCTACAAGATGGGCTTCAATCGCTACGGTCCGGCGGCCACCGCGCCCGGTCCACAATCTGCGTCGTCCGCCGCCGCCGGCGCATCGACTGCCGCCGCGGCTGCCAAGGAGAAAACGGCGTTCGACGTGAAATTGGAGAAATTCGAGTCCTCGGCCAAGCTGAAGGTGATCAAGGAGATCAGGTCCTTCACGGATTTAGGGCTGAAGGAGGCTAAAGATCTGGTGGAGAAGACGCCGGCGGTGGTGAAGAAGGGGGTCACCAAGGAGGAGGCCGAGAAGATCGTCCAGAAGCTAAAGGAAGTCGGGGCCACTGTTGTGTTAGAATGAAATAATATTTTATCGCATTATTTTCAGTTCATTAGCTGGATTTGGTTGACGATGAGTACTTTAGTTGATTTCTTGGTTCGTTCTCTGTCGATTTAGTTTTTGAAGGAATAGCATTTGAATCGATGTCAATGAGTCCCCTTTTAGTTTGGATAGAAAAAAATAAAGATAAAAGATGAATCTTGGATTTGTTTCGCTTGAGATGTTACAAGCTGCCCAAATGCTTAGAATTTTTTTTTTTTTTTTTGTACCATATACCAGATCAATGCATTGTTGAGTGAAAGTGAACCCGACATTCAAGCTGCTGGTTTGATGACACTTTCTGTTTCGTGTTTTCGTTTTGAACAGCTAATATGAGAATGGTTTGTTTATGATATTGTTCATTTTTGTTTTATTTACTTTTTGATTCCATTTTCTGTTTTATCATGTTAAGACTTGTAGACTGAGCAGAGAGTTCAACAGATATATGATAGACCAACTCTCACTACTGTAATCCCTTTTCTTTTCTATTGTTCTTTGTAGGTTTCTCTTGTTCACATCTTTTGATTATGTGGAGGATGGTAGACATTGTTAAGCTGTTGCCAGAGTCAAAAGCAAAAGGTGAATATGTGATTGAAATATCTATGTTCCGGAGCTCTGGTTTCCACTCTATAACTTGGAATGACAACTTACTGAAGAAATTTGAGTCGGTCTCACTGCACTCTAGGGGTGATTAGATATGAATTCAATTAGTAAAAAATTAGTTATTTTTTAACTATAGTTAAGTTTAAAAAGAAGTAATATAGTTAATTGTCAGTGGATATATTAAAATAATATTTAAATTAAAATAATTAAAGTTGATTTGATGTAAAAGTAGGAGAAAATGATTGGAAATGAGAGTTAGTCAAAATTATGTGAGTGGATGAATAGTGAATTAAAGTTGATGTGATGTGTAATAATGATTGGTTGATATTAATTAATTATATTGATAATAGGCAAAATTGCATATAAAAACATCACCTTTCATGCTTTTGCATTTTAATCACGACCTTCATATATTAGCACTTAAGTACATGACATTTTGCTTCTTTACAAATCGAATCATGCATGCCTTCTACCTCGCCGGAATAGAGCTGACGTGTCTCGTCGGAATACACATGTGGAATGTTCAAAAAAAGAAAAAAAAAATGAATTCCATGTCGCCCATTCTCGTAATAACACATAGACTAAAAAAAAATTAAAAAAACACAAAATCCACGTCGCCTTCTCTCCCCCAAATCGATTATTTAAGTCTCCCGTCACAGATTCACACACACAATCGAACCCTAATTTTGATCTTCAATTTCTGTGAAAATGGCGAAATTTCTATGAAAATTGCAAAATTTCTATGAATCATATGCTCTTCAACTTCTGTAAACTTTCTCCACAACCCTGAATTAGCAACCCAAAATTCCAATTCCTCTTCCCATACGAACCCTAATCGTGTTTTCAAAATCCCCAATTTTTCCTGAAAATGTCGAGTGGATCTAGTAGTCGAACAACAACTCGTCAGCCTCGTATGTGTTTCCATAATTTGGAAGTGGAAATGCTAACCTCGAACACGGATAAAAATTCAGCTCGGAGGTATCATCGTGTTAAGAGATGGCCTTTACAGAGGATTTTTTTTAAGCTTCATTCTTCTTCGATTTAGGTATTTTCTTCAAGGCGACGTGAATTTCAATTTTAGTTTTTTAATTTTTTGGTGCAGTCGATGTGTCAAAAAAAGACTGGACAAAGTGGATTTGCATTTTTCTCGTTTTTTCTTTTAATTCCACATGTGTATTCCGACAAGCCACGTCATTTTATTGTTGTCGGAGATGAAAGGCATGCTTCGACTTGCAAAGGGATGAAAGGTCATGTACTTAAGTGCTAATATGCGAAGGTCGTGATTAAAATGCAAAAACATGAAAGGTAGTGCTTTTAAAGTAGAGTTAAATTTGAGTTTTGATTGAGATATTTACTGTACAATTCATATACAATCACGCCCACTTTCTGTTTTTTCTTGAATTTGTGAGATTCATGTTGATTGAATGAGCTTGCTTAGCCTTTTGGTGTCTCAAAAGTTTACTTTCTGTTTTTTCTTGAATTTGTGAGATTCATGTTGATTGAATGAGCTTGCTTAGCCTTTTGGTGTGTTATACGTGCTCGAGATGTAAGGAACCCAACCCTATAGAAAGGGATTTTTCTTTGATGAAGACAGAATAGAAACATTTAACATGGAGTAGAAGTGCAATTTATTTCCTAAAAGCAATTACACTTACACAGATTTTTGAAGGTTTATATCTGCAATTTCTCTATTAAGAGGTGATGATGAATGCATTATGGTGCCGATTTATCTCGTTCCCTTTGGACAGGATGATGCAGCAATAAATGGCCCGAAACAAAGGCAGAAAGTATTATCACTAAGGTGCAACATCTTTTAGTTCAACCCATGAGTTGAATAAGAGAAATTGGGATGAACTTGATTCTCTCATTACATTCTTAATTTCCT